GCACTGCACCGCAAGAAAAAAGACGGCCGCCTGCCCGTTTTGCCCAGCGCCTGCATCTTTCTTTCCTTCTGTGCATGCATACTGCCTTTGCTCGCTCAGGTTTTCCTGGACTTCGCTCCCACGCTGGACCAGGCACGTTCTGCAACGCCCTGCTTAGTACATTTGTCTCGGGGGCTCGCTTTGCCCCCCCACGCAACGCTCTGTCAGGCATTCTTTCTCGGTCTCGCGTGCCCCTTTTGTGATGCACCTATCCTTGTCGGCCTTGCACTTCTTGCTTCCACTGCTGCTTCCTGACAGGCAGGCTACATCCGCCAGCTTCGTGCTCGAGCAGCTCCGCCCGTAGCTTCTCGGGATTTCTGCCTGCCTGTTTTTCTGCCCCTAGCTGCCATGCGACAGCGCTGGAAACGCAAGTTTGGCTCTCCCGAGGGCCCCAGCAACTGAAGCCACGCAACCTTTGGCAGCCGCCTCCCCTGCTCCAGACTCTGATGATGAACCATCGCAGCTGCCTGTTTTCTTAGGCTTCTTCGAGGCTGAGCAGTCGGCTTCGGAAGACGACTTCAGCTCGCCCGGCACACCTGCATCGCAGACAGCATTGCCCCTCCGCCTAGTAAGGACCTTAAACCCGCTCCCTGAGCCGACTATGCCAGATACCCCGACCCCGCCATCGATAATGCCGCTGACAAGCAAAGCACCACAGCCCTCAAAGTCGTCGGTTAGGATTGACTTTTCAGGCGACCTCCCCAGACTCCCGCACAGCATCACGCAAGGACTTTCACGGCCGCCCCGCCGAGTCGTCAAGTACCCGACCCCGGCTTTAGGTTGCCCTAGTCCCAATAAACCTTTGCCTAAGTCGGGCTTTGCACCGCCTTTGCCCCGCGGTGGCAGGCCCCCCCCCACCTGCCCGAGCCATGCCATGCAGCCTAAAATCCGCCACAAGCCCGTCGCCAAGCTCGCTGAAATCCACGGCCCACAGCCACATTGCCCCTGCAGCGTCGCCCTCGTCGCGTTCAGCTGCCTACCTATGTCATCTAGCCGCCGCCAGCACGACATGCGCCGCCAGGCCTGCCATCATACCGCCTGGACCCAGATTGTCGGGATTCTTTCGGGCGCCTCTCTGCTTTGGCAGGCCCTACAGCAAAGCTCTCACGCCCAGCAACACATGCTTGCAGTGCTTAGGCCTTTCTCACCAGGCACACTAGAACGTTATTTCAGGGTTACCTTCAACTTTTTCGCCTTCCTGCACAGCTCATGCATCTTGCCATCCGCACTTTCATTGCACGTCATATTGGACTTCATTGCTGCAGCCCGTGCCTCCGCCAAGCAAGACCGCGAAATAAATCAGATGACGGTCCCTTCTTGCATCAAAGCCCTGCGCTGGCTAGCCAAGCATGCGCAATGGCAGGCTCTCGGCACCGCACTTTGCAGCCCGGTCATCACCGCCTACACTTTTTCCAGCTCAGCCAAGGATCGCCGCGAGGCCCTGCCCATACCGCTAGCATTGGTGGTCAGTTGGGAACGTCGTGTCTGTGACAGCCAAGCACCGCTGACTACGCGCCTCGTCCTGGGCGCAGCGCTGCTTGCGCTTCACTGCAGCTTGCGTTTTGCCGATCTACAGCGCGTAGACCTCTCTAGCTTATCGCTTACATGCCAGGCCCTGCACGGCACTTGCTTCGCTACGAAAACGACATCGCAAGGACAACCATGGGCTTGCCGTCTGGGCGGTCTGTCGGGTCGCGACGTCCGCACTGCTTGGGTTTTGCACTGGCTCGACGCGATTCTGCAAGCAACGCATCGCTTTTACGACTCTTTTTCACAGATAGATTTCCTGTGGTTCCACACAGCTCCCAGCTGCCTCTGCCTAACTCAGCCCACGCCGGCGAGCTATTGCACTGCGCTGCTCTCTTTGCGATGGGCCTGCACCTGCAACTGGCCTGCAGGAACCGGCCTCCTCCCTTCGGAGGCTAGGTCCCTGACCTTGCACAGCCTCAAGTCCACGCTTCTGGCAGCGGCGGCACAACGCCGTGCTCCTAAGGACTCCCGCCTCGCACAAGGTCACCACCGCGACAGCGCCGCGCTCTACTCTCGCAACGACACCTTTGCCAGCCTCGATGTGCAAGAAGACCTAGCAACCGCAGTCAGCACCGGCTGGCACCCGCAACATAGCATTGCTCGTGGTGGTCAAGCTCCCGTTCCAGAGCCTCCTTTCAGCATCGCACCGGGCCCGGTCTTGCAATCGGTTCGGCCCGCGGATATCCTTAATGGTTCCTGGTCCCGCTTCGCCACTCGGCGTGAACACCTGTATGCATCGCAATCAACACCGCCTGCAACCGCTTCCGAAAGCCGCCCTTTCACGTCTGCTCTGCAACAGCACCTCGATGCCCTCCTGGAAGATCCGATCGAACAGTTCCCCACGGACGACCCGATCACAGGCTTCTCTGACGACGAAGAGGCCATGCTGGTAGAACGTGCGGCCCGCAACGCTCCGCCTAGCCCCAGCACTTCTAATGCATCCGAAATGGACTCGGACGACTCTGCATCGGCACAGCCTCCCTTGCCTATTTGCACAGATACTGCTTCGTTCGCATGCAACGGCCCATGGGCCTGTTGGCACAGCCTCGTCAACTCGGACACGGATGATCTCACACTCCGCACAGCTTGTGGCACTCGCCTGGGCCTCGGTTCGCTTACCAGCACGGCCCCGCAGGGCCCTTTCTGCCGACGCAAAGCCTGCGTGGCCCTGCGCCTAGCGGCCTCTCAGAGCTGACTTTCTCATGGCAATAAAATCGGCGCTTCTGATTTCCTCCACCCTTGACTCCCTCTTTTCATGTGGTTCTCTCTTTAGCCATTTGCGCCCCGCAACCCTGTCAGGTACCTGGTGCTCCTCGACCTCCTGCCGCTCCACGCCTCCTGGGCTCGCTTGCTCGCCATGCCATGCCTCGCTCTTCCTGTGCAGCCCCTTTCTTGCTACTTGCCACGCTGTGCTAGCTTTTGGCTCGAATCCTTCTTTAAAACTCTTTAAACTGCACCTCTTGCCAGATGGCCGTGGACCTGTCATTTGAGGAGGCACCGCCTGTGCCAGCGAGCGCTCTCGCACAGCTCCTCCAATCCTGCCAAGTTCCCGACCTATCTGTCGCGGATTTCGCCTATGCCTTCTCGGAGACCGCAGACCTCGATCACTTCTGTGGCGACGACTTCTCGCACATCTGGCTTGAGCTAGATGCACCTGTGCCTCGCATATCTCCGGCCATGGCCCGCCTCCGCAAAGCCCTACAACAAGCCAAAGCAGTTTCTGCTCCAACACCGCTGCAAGCGCCTTCAGCACCGCAAGCTCCTGCACCCGCCGCTGCAAGCCCCGCTAACTCCTGGGCTGAGCACGCACCGCCTCGCCTCGACCAAGCCGCTGTGCAACGCCTCGTGCAAGCCTTCAAGGATGCATTCCCCGGCGAACACCTTGACAGCGATGCCATGCCAAGCATTCGTTTGCTCAGCCTTGTGCATCGTTGGTTTCAACCAGGGCACACCATTACTTGGATACCCTGGCAGCTCAGGCTGTCTGCAAAGCAGTATGACGAGATCATACAGAGCAAGGCCACCAAGCAGATCCGCACTGAGGCACACCTCATCAGCACCGCATTTTTCGACGATACGCCAGAAATGGCCGTCGACCACCTCCGCCTCAGCTCCGCCTGGCTTCAACGTGTGCAAACCGTCTTCCGCAACGCCATCGCAATATGCAACGGAGCGCATCTGCAGCGCCTCAAGGCCTTTGATAAAAAGGTTCTTGACCTCGCAACGCAAACTGTCGCGCCAGACTTGCACCTACGCACCGTTACCACGCAAGAGCTCCTCGTTGCCGATCGCAAAATCGCCGCGCTGCACACCAGCGGGTGGTCCCTGGATGACGCCCTGCACGAAATCACCAGCGTTCGCTCAGACATCAGCTCCCTACTGCAATTGCGTGCCAAGCCTATGCCTTCGCCCACCAGGGAAGACCGCATCCGCGGCAAAGGTGGCAAAGCCAATGGCAAAGGAGTGCGCCAGCCAGGCAAGCAGCCTCGCACACCCAACTCGGGCAACCAGCAAACTGCACCGCTCGCCACACAGCTGGGCGATAAGACGCTATGCATCCGCTTCAATAAAGGCAACTGCACGAACAAAAACTGCAAGTTCGAACATAAGTGCGCCTTTAAGTTGCCGTCTGGCCAGCCTTGCGGAAAAAATCATGCAGCCTGCAATCATAAAGTCGAAAAGCCCAGCCCGTCCTGAGAAACGCAGGAGATGGCATCCGGGAGCAGTCTCTTGCCAACAGCCCGGAAACAACGCAGCCAGTCGCCTTCCTCAGCCTCGGCGACCTCCTGCTCTGCCTCTCCCTGCACGCCGCCTGAACAACCTCTCCCGAAGGGGGATGTTTTCTTATTTGATTGTTTTCATGTTGGAAAATTGTTTACAATTTTCGGGCGCACTTTTTCCAGTCATGTCTTGCGGGGGTTATTTGCATGACATGATGTTTTCTCACGTTTGCTTTGCCGTGCATGTCAGTGGCATTCGCAGTTTTGCTTGCAGGCGTGAGAAAATTTTTTTGTCGGGCCCTCTAGAGGCTTGTTGCTCTCGTCTAACAGGTTCCGGGCCCCTCACGCAAGGCTTTAGCTCCCCGCGTAGTCGGGGTCCTTCATGGATCGGCGGCGGCTTCAGCGCCCGCCTCCTGCCTTGCGGCGTCTTCTGCTCCTCTGGCTCTGGGAGCGTCTTACACTTCGAGGCTGGCAGTCTGCCATTTTGCGCCCTGACCCGCCAGCCCGCTTGGGCATTCCTCAGTTCTTGGGAGCAGCCTCAGCCGGAGCCCACATTTTGCTCAGCATTGGAGTTGATCGACTGTTTCCTTTGCGCGCTAGTTGCCGGGCTGTGGCTTACATTTTCTGTACGATTGCTGAGTTTGTGCACCGATCTCGTGGCCGCCTGAGCCGGATCTACCAACGTAGGTGAGCGCTCGCATTTTCTGGGGTATGGCGCGACCGCTCGACAGGCTGTTGCTTGCTGCAGACAAACATGTGTCCAAGCATTCCCTCAAGATGCCCTGGGAGCGCGGGGCGATGAGAGCAGTGTTTTCGCAGAGCGACCTGAGTTCACTTTCCCAGTGCAGTGTGCCAGCTCCTCTGCAGACGGAGCCCTTGGATTCCGCTTCTTTCGAGGAGGCAGCCGCCAAGGCTCACCCCCAAGAGCATGCTTCACAGTTTGTGCAGGTCGCTTTCTCTGCCAGGAAATTTCAGAAGCCCCAAGAAACTGAGGAGCAACAGTTGCAGTTGCTTGCAACGAGATACGATATCCTCTTGAGTCATGCATACGAATGCTCTTCCCTTGGCAGACTGTTGAAGGACAAGTGCGAAACAGATCGGGTCAGTCTTGTTGCCGAAGCCCTGGGTGGCAAGGCTCTCTCGACTTTGAAAAAGCGGTTGTCCAGTCTCGCCCGCCTGGTGGGATGGTGCTCGAACCAAGGCATGTCGGCTTTCCCGATTGACTCTCAGGTGTTGATTGAGTACACCCAGCATTTGCAGCAGAGTGGTGCCTCGCACTCTGTGTTCGGATCTTGCATTGAAGCGTGCAACTTCGCTAGATTCATCTTGGGTGTGGATGCCACTGGTGAGCCTCATAAGCACCCACTTGTGCAAGGGCGACTTCGCAAGGTGCGGTTCAATCGTCCGCCTCGTGTGCAGGCGAGGCCCCTCCAGGTTCGAGAGGTGGCATACCTTGAGGCTTTTGTCCAGGACAGCCGCCGTGATGCAAGGGATAGGTATGCTGCAGGTGCTTGCTTGTTTTGTGTGTAGGGGATGTGAGGGCAGTCAAAGCAATGTTCATCGATTTTGCAGAGGGTGAAGGTTTCCTTGAGTGCATCTCGACGTCGCACAAGTGTGCCTCGACAGGTAACCCGTTGGGGCTCGAGTTGAGCCTAGTGGCCCCCGAGCGGGGTGTGGGTCAAGGTCTTTGGGCCAAAGCTTGGGTTGAGGTGTGGCGCCTGTCGGGCCACCCGGTCGCCACCGGATCCTGCAGCCTGCCTTTGCTGCAGTCGCCTATGCTCAATGGGTCTTGGAGTGGTCGCCGGATTCCGACGGGCAGGTTTGTGACCTGGATTTCTTCGATCCTCAAGTCTGGGGATGAGAGCATGGGGTTTGATCTCAAGGGTCATTCGTGCAAGCATACTGCACTGTCGTGGGCAAGCAAGACAGACATGTCCAAGGACTCCTGCACCATCCTGGGGCACCACTCCTTGAAAGATAGACGATCGGTCGTGACCTACTCCAGGGACATCCAAGCTGGGCCATTGCGAGAGCTGTGTCAGATGTACTGTGACATTCGGTGTGGCAGGTATCTCCCAGACATGACCAGGTCCGGTCTTTATGCAAAGGGCCCTGCATCTGCTGACTCGGCCGAGGAGCTGCCTTGCGACAGCGTGTTCGAGACTGAGGCGGAAAGAAACTGGTACCGGCCGGCGGTCAGCCCTGGCTCAGCTTGTGACTCAGAAGCCCTTTCTTGTGCGAATGCTTTTGCTTCCGAGCCTGGCCTCAGCGATCAAAGGGATGCCAGTGACGATGACACCCCTTTCGGTCGCGCTGTGGACTCCCTAATCCATAGTGCAGAGCGTGCTGCGTGGGAAGATCCGGATGCTGCTTTCGAGGACGATAGGTCTCAGGGGGAGGAGCCAGACTCCTCGTCGTCCAGCGAGTCTAGTTCCGATTCAGGCTCGTCCGACAGCGAGATAGATGAAGTCCTGACTGCGAGTCAAGCAGACCCCCCGGTGGGGCAGAGGTATCATGATCGGTGCCCTGTCTATCAGCAGAAGAACACCAGGACTCTTCATCTTAAGCCTGCGGGAAGCTCCATGGAGCGTTTCATATGTGGCCGAGATATCACGGCGAACCATAAGCCGTTCACGTCGGCGGTTCAAGCAGCGCACTGGCGCTGCAAACAATGCTGGAAGGGAAAGCCCATCAGGGACTTAGGGTCCTTGGTGCACTGCCTTGACGAGCGATTGAAGAAGATTCCGAGGACCGAGTAAAAGTCCGTGCTGTGGTGTTTCGGAGTGTGTCCCAATGAGCCTGGAGGCCTCAGGGGTTTTTCGTTTGTCTGCATTGATCTGCCTATGTGGAGCTTGCGGGATACCTTCTTTTGCGATCACTTGCAGGACGGCTCAGAACCTTGCGGGATCATGTGTCATGACATGCTGGAAATGACCTTGCGGGATTGATTTTTCTATCGAGCTAGAACATGTACACACCTGCTGTCTTTGTAGGTCTGAGCGTGTAGGATCCAACCCTGTTCCATGGCGTCCATCCTGAAGAGTCAGGCGGCTTTCGAAGAAAGGGCCAAGGAATGTGGGCTGACGCAAGCTGAGCTTGATGTGCTCGTGCGTAAGGGTTTGACATCCTTGTCGCTCCTTGCCTTCAGTGTCTCGACCCCGGGCGAAGTACCGCAGGAGGCTGAGCTCAGGTCCATCCTTGATCCCACGGACCCCACGACTGTGCCGTTGCGTGCACTGTCGGCGCTGCGGCGCCTCATGTTTGAGGCTCAAACTCTGTCCATTGCACAGCTTAAAAGCTCGATTGAGGGTGAAGGTGAAAAGAAAGCGGAGTTGGCCCCTGCTGAGAGGACGAATCGTATAACCGATCAGCGGAAAAGGCTCGTGGGGCTCAGCTTGACTGGTCCTTTGGAAAACGCTTTCAGCAATTACACTTATGTCGCCCAGGTCGTTGATCAAGATTGCCTGTCCTATTTGGAGCCCCACAGGTTCCTAACCAGGGCCATGGAGGTGAATCGAGAAAAGCCAGGGAAAGAGTTGATCTTAGATGAGGGCTCGCGCATGAGTATCCGCGACAAGGCTCACAAGGATAAGTGTGGCATTCAGAATGAGTTGCAGCTATCCGAAGCCCTGTGTCGCAGGGCACTTGCTTGCGACCTTCTGCAGCTTTGCACTTTTGCCTCCATGGACTTGTGGCACAGGCATCTGCTTGCCAAGCTATCGGAGCAGCCGCCTCCATACTATGCTAAGGTTTCGATGGAGCAACTGCTCAGGTGCGACAAGGCGGCATGGGTACGCATGAGTGAGCTCTTGACTTCTCTGAAGAAAGATGACGCGGGAAACCTGCCAATGGATGCTGCTCTGGACAAGCTTCAGTACGATCCAAAAATCATGATGCATCTGGCCCCGCTTCCTGGGGCTAAGTGGAAGGGCGATGGAAAGGGCGACAAGGGCACAAAGCGTGATGCCGATGGCAAGCCGAAGTTGCCTCCTCACCGACCCGGTAAAGGTGCAGGTAAGGTAAAGTGCCCTGAAGCGTTGTCCGACTCCCGCTTGAAGCACAACTGTAGCAAGACTAAGAAACGCCTGTGTTGGAATTTTAATATGCAGGCTGGATGTAAGTTTGCGAAACCTGGAGAGAGCTGTAAAAGGGCCTGCACATTTGTATGTTCTGCGAGCAGCCTCACTCTCTCCTTCAATGCACGACTTACAAAGTCAACGAGTGACGGGAGGCTGCCGCCGCTGAGGCCGATTCTCTTGTTGATGAGGCGATGAGCCCTTCGGTCTCGCCCCAGGCGGCAAACCACGAGTGCATGATGACACAGATAGATAAGGTGGGCCCGTTGGCATGTCCCAAGCCGGCCGCAGCAGTGCCTGAACGAATCCCGAATGTTGTGATTGATGAGCGAGTTTTTCCCTTGCCCGCTGAGCGGCGAGTGCACGTCTCTTTGCATCCAGCAGAGCAACTTGCGCAAGACGTGCTGTCGTCTGGTGAACCTGTGACAGCATCTTGCATTGAGCGCCTTTTTAGTTTGTTACCCTCTAGACTGGATGAACGCTTTGGCTCAGAGTCTGGCAGATCCTTTGTTGCAGGTGTTTTCCGACATGGGGGCATCGTTGGCCTCACAAACACTTGTCGCTCTTTTCCTCAATCGGTCATGTTGGCCATCTCTTGGGCCGCGCAGCACGGCGGGCCCAAGTTGACAGATTCCACATTTTGCTCGATTTCCTTGAATCTTAACGTCAAGACTGAGGTTCACTGTGATGTGAACAACGATGATGCTGACAATCTTGTGCTGGGTGTCACCGACTTTTCAGGTGGGCACATATGGGTTCAATCCGAGTCGGGCAGCCATGCACTACCCGTCAATGGTTCCCTGGTCCATGGGGACTTGTATGATGTTGCAGCGGCCCCAGTGCGGTTCTATGCAAGAAAACGTTTGCATTGCACAATGCCTTGGACGGGGGATAGACTAGTCCTCATCCTGTTTTCGGGCGGAGATGCAACTCAGCTGCCCAGCCTTGACTTTGAGCATCTTAAATCCTTAGGGTTTAGGCCCTCGGTCTCCGCGTCAACCGTCAACCCTCCGTTGGCGTATGTCCCACCGCCTGCCGGAGCCTTGGAACCCTTGCTTTCTAAGGTTTCTGATAAAGTCAAAGGAGTGCCTCTTGATAGTCTCATGTTCCTCGATGTGTTCTGTGGTTCGGGGGGCCTCTGTGCTGCTTTGCGTCAGCTGGGCATGAAGCTGAGCGTTGGTTTGGACCGTCATGCACAACGTGGTTGCAAATGTCCCGTTGTCTCCCTGGACCTTACGAAGCCGGGATCCCGAGCCATTCTGCTCGACCTCCTTAGGCAGCCACATGTTGTTGCGTGCCATTTGTCTCCACCTGTGACCACCAGCTGTGTCGGTTTGGCGGGCCCTCGCCCAAGTGGCCTTCGCAATGCAGCGCATCCTGAGGGTCTGCCAGGTCTTCAAGGTGCTGATCTTGATTTGGTCAATGGGGCTAATGCCCTGTTTGCCATGTGCGCAGAGGTCTGGCATTTCTGTTGGAGTCATGGGGTGTTCTGCTCCATTGCTCACCCCAGCCGATCCATCATGTGGCTCACTGCTTCACTTCGGTCTTGCCAGGCCTCTCCCTTCCTCTCTACTTCTTTGCATCAGTGTATGTTCGGCTCCTACAGACGAAAGGCTACCCGCCTTCTGCACACGGTTCCCTTCCTGCAGAAACTTGGTGTGACGTGTGACGGTGCCCACGCTCACGAGCCGTGGCGCTCTCCGGCGTGCAATCGCGCCAAAGACGCTGGCCTCCCGCCTATGCTGTGCAAATCCTTTGCCCAGGCACTTGTGGATCAACTGCTTGCATGCGGTGCACGTGGCCCGGCGTGCTCTCTTGCCAATGCATCCTTGTCGCTCTCGCTGGGCGCCCGTGTGACTACAGCTGCACAACCTTCAGGTCGGAAGATCCCTCCGCTGGTGCCTGAGTTTTCTCGCACAGTCAAAGTGTCAGGCCCAGCCGATCAGCTGCCGTGCACCTCGAAGACCAAGCTGCTATCGGCCTGGACAGTCCCCAAGACTGTCTTCTGCACACCTTTTCTTTCATCGTTGCCGGCAGGTTCCAAGTGCCTCCGAGCCAGCCCTTATGCTCCACGGGGTATGGCGCCTACCTCGGAGCCAGCCACCTTTGCATCCACATCTGAGCCAACTGCCGGTGCGGAGCCCTGCTCCTCTGCTGCCGGTGCGGAGCCCTGCTCCTCTGAGGGTGTGGTGTTAAGTAGTCCTGATCCCCTGGTTCCGCGGTGCCAGCCGGCCCCTGCCTTACCCTTGCCTGTAACCAGTGCAGCCGGTGCGACTCCCAATGTCAAGTCGGGGCTTGAATTGCTCTTTGGCATACCGTGGTCACCTTCGGAGTTTGTGGAGCAGGCATGCAATGCGAAGCACCCGCGTTCCCTAGATCAAGGTGTGCCAATTGGCATGTCGGCATGTATTGATCATCTGTGCGAGCACAGCTCGGTCAGTGTGGCTAGAGAACGCACGGCTGAACTTCGCAAATGGATGCTTAGGAAGAAAGAGCTTGACGAGAGCTTTGACGGACCCGAACATTGCAAGAAGATCCTAGCTGGGAAACCCTTGAAACTCTTTGGGGAGATGGTCAAAGCTGCTGGGCATGCCGATGCAAACCTGGTACGAGATATACAGAACGGCTTCGACCTACTTGGTGAAATCCCTTCCTCGTCTGTCTTGCCGAAGAAAACCACCGTGGCATCCCTCAGCATCGAGGACGTAAGAATCGCCACCCCGGCGAATCAGCGTGCGATCTGGGAAGCCACCCGCACCTGCAGGGATCCCGAAATTGCTTCGGAAGTGTATCGCCTTACCTTGGAGGAGCGGGACAAAGGGTGGCTCACTGGACCCTTCTCTCTCGCCGATGTGCCGGAGACTGCCATTGTTACGCGCCGCTTTGGCGTCAGGCAAGGTGTGACGACGACGGCCAACGGTGTGGCGGCAAAGATCCGTCCGATCGATGACTTCACGGAAAGCTTAGCCAACTTGACGTGCACTTGTGCGGAAACAATTGACCCGCACTCAGTGAACGTCATTGTGGCCGGGATCCTGAGGCGGTGCCGGCTGCTACGAAAATCAGGGAAGGACGCCCGCTTGCTCCTTCGTACGATAGATCTGCGTAAAGCCTATAAGCAACTTCCCTTATCGGAGCGGGCTTTGGGGGATGCTTATATCTGTGTGCTTAACCCGAATACGGGCGAACCTGAACTTTACCAAAGCCAGGTGCTACCCTTTGGCGCTAAGCCATCAGTACAAGGATTCTGTCGTTCTTCGGGGGCAATTTGGAGTGTGGGGCAGGTCCTGCTCCACATCCACTGGAGCGTGTTCTTCGACGATTTTGTAGCAGTATCCTCTCCGGAGGAAAAGGGCCATCTTGATCTTGTGTTGCGGTCGTACTTTGCCTTGATCGGCTGGGAAACGTCTGACGAAAAAGACGCCGGGTTCAAAAGTGTGGCTAAAGCCTTAGGAGTAGAGTTTAGTTTGGACGAGATCCACTTAGGTCTACTTAGGGTTCAAAACACAGAGGCTAGGAAGCGTGAGCTCGTGTCCACGATCGAGTCCATCGTACAGCAAGGCGGAGTGCATGCCAAAGAACTTGAGTGCTTGCGTGGCCGTCTTCAGTTCGCTGAGTCGCAAGTGTTTGGTCGGGGTGCGGCCCAGCGCATGCGAGCTATATCAAAAGCAATGAAGCTCTCGGGCTTTGTAGTTCTCGATGATTCCTTGACCGAGGCCCTGCTCTTCTTGAAAGATCGAGTTTTGCACGGGGAAGCAAGGATGATCAGGGCTTGCGATCGTTCCACCTACCACTTGTTCACAGACGCTTCCTACGAAGCGGATGCGCCAGCCGGCCTAGGAGGCATTCTTTATAGCGATAGGGGTTTGCTCCTTAGGTGGTACTCCGAGTCTGCCGACCCAGACGTTCTGGAGGCCATAAACAAAGAGGGCAAGCAAGGTCTGATCTATGAGTTGGAAGCTTGTGCGGCAGTGCAAGGTGTGGTGCAACTTTGCAACTCTTTGAGTGACTGCAATCTCATTTGCTATTGTGACAATGAGGCCGCCCTCGCGGCCCTCATCAAGTGTGCTTCCGATTCCCCGGTGGTAGCATCGCAGCTCAACAAGCTCAGCATGCTTGAGGATGAGAAAGGAATCAGCATATGGTTTGAGAGAGTGGAGTCATCTGCGAACCCTGCCGATGATCCTTCGCGATTTGTGTTTGGCAAGCTTCCTACCAACTTCAGAGTCCGTTGGGCCCCAGGCGAAGAGCTGTTGTTCTAGCGGCACCTGATCTTGAATGGGGAATGGCATCAGTTGCCCTTTTCGCTTGCAGGATGTTCGTTTCTCACTTGCGGGATATTGCCGGAAACTTCGTTGCAGGACGATCGTAGTTTTTCCAGTCTTTGTACATCCACGAATGTGGAGCCGGAATCCAACAGTCTGCACCCCTCGCTCTAAAAAAGAAGTCCGAGTGCGATTGCCTCAGTCTGTGAGTGCAGTTCGTGTACATGTACTTCTGCTTTGTTGGTGCGCTTGGAATGAAAACATAACCAAATAAGAACAACCTCTCCCGAAGGGGGATGTTTTCTTATTTGATTGTTTTCATGTTGGAAAATTGTTTACAATTTTCGGGCGCACTTTTTCCAGTCATGTCTTGCGGGGGTTATTTGCATGACATGATGTTTTCTCACGTTTGCTTTGCCGTGCATGTCAGTGGCATTCGCAGTTTTGCTTGCAGGCGTGAGAAAATTTTTTTTGTCCCACCCGCCCACCCCTCGGGGGAATGGCATCAGTTGCCCTTTTCGCTTGCAGGATGTTCGTTTCTCACTTGCGGGATATTGCCGGAAACTTCGTTGCAGGACGATCGTAGCTTTGCCAGTCTTTGTACATCCACGAATGTGGAGCCGGAATCCAACAGTCTGCACCCCTCGCTCTAAAAAAGAAGTCCGAGTGCGATTGCTTCAGTCTGTGAGTGCAGTTCGTGTACATGTACTTCTGCTTTGTTGGTGCGCTTGGAATGAAAACATAACCAAATAAAAGCCCACTAGGTCCCGCACCCCCCCTAAGGCACCCGCCCATAGGATCACTAGGACACCTAATCCTGCGTCGCTGGAGTCGGCTCGCTCCTCCTCTAAGCCTGCGACTGGATTACCCCAGCCCTCTGCCAGTGAAGCCTCCGAGTCGGAGAACAGTGACGCTTCCCTCTCCGACCCGCCCTCGGCCGCACCTGCATCGCCCTCCTCAGCACGCTACCTGCTTTTTTGGCCACCCGAGCTTCTCGAGTCTACAGACAGTATTAACAGCTCTCTGCACACTTTTGCCTCGCCTCCGGCTCTGCATGACAAAGACGGCCAGTGGCTGCCTGAGGTATTGTTTTCATTGCAGGGAATAGCCTGGTCTGGTGTACTAGGTGTGCTCTGCATCCTTGGCGACACCACTTCGTGCTCAGCCTCTTTTCATCGAAGCCTCTGCGCCTTGCACCGCGCCGCACATCTTCAGGGAGCCCACGTCATCTTTTCCTTCCCTCAGCCTTCTTCAGAAGAAGTGTTTGACATGTACTTGCAACTTGCGCAAGAACTCGCAGCCACGTGCACATGGATGCGGTCTCCTCGCCGCGCACTGCTGGGGGTCAGCTGCTCCTTGCATAGCAGATTACAACCTGACGGTATACTTAATCTGCAGGCCTTGGCCGCCCTTTGCACAACCGACGTGTCTGCCCAACCTTGCTCGACGCCACTGCCACTGCATGCACTGCATACCTTGGGCGCTCGCACCTTCCACTCCAAACGTTCGCCGGTGTGCGACGGCGCCGGCAACGTCAGCACCGCCGACCACATGCATTGCACCAACAAACCTGCCACACCTCTTGCATCACTGGCAGACTCCATGCTGGAGTGTCTGCGCCAAGAACAACTACTCAAGCCAATCCTTGCCCACTTGCATGCTGGCCTTCCAGAACCGCCTCTGTCGGAACAGCATGGCTCCGTGCTGGCAGAAATCATCCGACTGCATTTCGCGCAGCACACGCCCTCCTCAGAGGCTCTGCGCATAGAACCAGGCCAGCCTTTCCGCCTTGAGATCCTGGAAATGCTTGCCCGAGCCATTGACGATCCTGACACAGGCCTAATACCTATCCTCAAAGAGGGCGTGCCGACTGGTGCCTTCTCCCCGCTGCCGCCATGTGGGCTTTGGCCTTCAGCACCGCAAAACATCGACACTTCCGCTGACCTTGATCCGCAAAGCCTCGAACACTGCGCGGGCAACTGGACAGCAGCCGAACGAGACCCTGCACTGCTTCAGCAGCTTGTTGACCAAGAAATTGCTGCAGGACACGTTGCACCTTTCCAAGGCTCGCCAGAAGACGCCGCAAAGCACTGGCCTCTCGGCACCGCAATCGGCAAATTGAATATTGTACGCGCAGATGGCAAAGACCCTCGCCTCGTGCTCGATAGCTCCGTGTGCGGTTTGAACCCCTCCGTGCATTTACCTGAGCGAGTCTCCATGCCCAGCGCTCTTGACGTACAGCGCACCTTCTTCGCCTCTGATCCTTTTGCACGCCTGCAAGGCCTATCTCTAGACTTCAAAGCTGCACACAAATCGCAAAAAGTGCGCCCTGCGGAGCAAGGCACATTGCTTTTCCGCATTGCAGATAAACTCTACCATTACACAGTCTGCCACTTCGGCGCCCGCTTTTCCGCATATTGGTGGCAACGCACCGGCTCCTTGATCTTGCGCATTTTGCACGCATTGCTCTGCAAATACCCACGCAAAGCATGGCTTTACGTGGATGACATTCTAGCTGCACTTGTGCGAGATAAGCTGAATCAGCCAGTGGCATTAATAGTTGCCTTGCTCGCAGCACTGCATGCACCAATCAGTTGGAAAAAAGCCCAGCTCGGCGACCAAATTACTTGGTGCGGCTGGACTTTTTGCTTCTGCACCGAAACAGTGGCCTTAATGCAAAGCAAACTGGAGAAATTGCGCCAACAGCTCCGCAAACTTAGCAGCGCATCCAAAGTCCTGAAGAAGGAGTTGGAGGCATGCCTCGGCTTGCTCAACTGGGCTACTACCTTGAGCCCTCATATGCGCTCCTTCATGTCCTGCTTGTACAAGGATCTGCACAGCAGTGCAGGAACACTGCATAGCATTGCCCCGCAGGCGTGGGCTGCCTTCTACGACTGCCTGGACTCGACTGCCAAGCTAGCCTCCACGCCTTTGGGATCCTGGCTGCCTCGCAATGCACAGCTGCTAGAGGTTGGAGCAATCAAAATACACTCCAAGTCAGACGTGCCCCGCGTACCTCCTTCGCATAAGCACCAGTGGGTTCGACTTGCCGATCCAAACCGCACCGAAATTCACCTCAAGCAAGATAGCAAGTTCTGCCTCGCATGGCTGGAGGTCTGCTTCAAACACGAGCAACCGCGCAGCCTCCGCACTCCTCCTGTCGCGCCCTGCATGAGCGCTGCAGACGCATTCGCCGATACGGACCGCATGGGTATCGGCGGTTGGCTCAGCACTTCTTCGCACTTTGTATGGTATAGTGAGATCTTCACAGGTGAGGAGGTTCGCGCCGTATGGCCCCAACTGCACGGCTCCATGCAAAGCTACATCGCCTGCTTCGAAGCCCTGGCACAGCTCGCCCTTGCTCACTGCTCTTGGGCCCTGCTTCGCCACAAGCAGGCACGTTTTGTCTTGCCCAGCGCCAGCGACAACACCTCGGCTGAAAGCGGGGTAAACCGCCTGTTCACTACGGCGGAGCCTTTAAGCACTTTCCTGCGTCTCGCTGCGACGTGGGCTCACCTGCACCGTGTACAGTTTCAGGTCGAACACCTGGCTGGTGAAAAGAATACTTGGGCTGACGCTCTCAGCCGGGGCCGCCTCGCCTTCATCAAGCATCGCTCCCACGAAAGGGCACGCATTAGCCTTGCACAGCTCGCCTCTGCTTCGCACACAGTTTCACTTCGAGGGGAGGAGAACACCTCGCCTCTGCGAGGCCCAGCGCAGCCTTCTGCGCTGAATTTCTCGTGCAGACGAGATAAAAAGCAAAACTCTGCATCGGAATTTTGCTCCAGCACCCTTTGCTCCCTACTGAGCACGCTTCTGCTTATTGTTCTGTCCGTCCCGGCAGGTCTCCTTCTCCATCCTCGTGCGAGGGGGGTTTACTGAGCCCGCAGGGCAGAGGACGCTGAAGTCGAACTAAAGTGGGGGAGACAAGCGGCAACGCTTTGCCCTGCTCTTCCTTACTTCGGGCATCGCATTGCCTCGCACCGACTTCAAGCATCCTCCGCGAGTAGAAAAAAGAGCGCTGTCTCGTTTTGCAGTCTAACACGTCTTGTAAACTCACAGTACTCTTACTGAGAACGCATGTCGTGAGTTTGTTGTTTTGGTCGACAGTGTTTTCGGTAAGTACTTGAGCTTGCACTGCTTCGCCCCGCGCTGCATTGTTAGCTTAAGCTGTCGACCCGGATCGCCTTCCGCTAGCAACTTGTTAACCCACCCACCCAACCCTGGGGGGAGACTTCGGGCATCGCATTGCCTCGCACCGACTTCAAGCATCCTCCGCGAGTAAAAAAGAGAGCGCTGTCTCGTTTTGCAGTCCAACACGTCTTGTAAACTCACAGTACTCTTACTGAGAACCGTCGTATGTTGTGGCGCAGTGTTTTTGCACGAGAAAGGAAAAATGATTCTCACCTTCATCAGTTTGGTGATTTATAATTCCACATTCATCAACCTTCCCGAACAACATTGCAGATTTTTCTTGAGACTGTGTTGATCATCTTTTCAACAGTCCCACCAGTGGGATTACGTCTGCGACCCGTTGATACCCTCGAGTGGATTGCAGCATTTGGTTGCGCAACTCGTTTTGGGGCGCTTGGAAGGCTGCGATTCGGTCTTCGCTGTCAACAAGAAAGACAACAGCGCATAGCCCTGAAAGTGGAGGTGATGAGATGTTGTACACGCCCACGCCGCAGCTACGAGGCTCACGTGGTTCCGCAAGGCTATGCTGAAAATGCCTTCTTTGCGGCTGCTGGCGATCGGTGTGCTGGTGCAATGCTCAACATCAGCCACCGTGCAGGATCTTCGCAGAGCGCAGACCAAGAAGCCCAGGGATGCGTTCCGAGGGCCCAGCCAGTCCGAGATGAGCAAGACCTTGAACAAGCATCTGAGGCGGGTTTAGGGCCGAAAGAAATCTGAATTCCAATGGTGTGTACTTCCCGGAGCTGAGGCATGCACATTCGAAAACGAAAGCCTGTGAAGAGTGGTCCTTGCTTGAGTTACAAGACTTCATGGCCACCGTCCTCGGGCACCGAAGCCATGAGCTGCAGAAGATTTACGAGGGCACCTCGGACCGCCGAAGCGTGCCCAAGGAATTGGATGAAGTGCGGCAGCAGTGGGCCAGGTCGAATAGCATTCTCCAAGGGCTTTCGCACCTTGAAGCACCCCAGCGAGAAGCTCACTGCCGAGAGGCACGAGGTTTTGGGGTTTAGGATCTCCGGTTTGTGGCTTTCTGGGATCCGGCATGTCCCTGTCAGGCTGTGATGTGGTGGGTGCACCACCTCGATGCAGAAAAGCGGGAAGAGCTTGAACGCAGCCTCACGGTGCCACTTCTTCCCGAGAGCCCGAAGCTGCGGTGTGGGTCGACCGATATGCTTCGATCGGACGGCTCCCATGCCACACCGGAGACTTTGGAGGATGAGACCCATGTTTGCAGCAAGGTTAATGAAGCGAACTCCTGCGACTGGTGCCACTCTACACAGGCAGATCATGACAAAGGCCTTCCTGGTACATCGCCCCCGGATGCCACCAAGAAGTTTACCGGTCCAGACGACGGCAACCCGCAGGGCTCCTTGGAGAGATTTCAGCCTGCAAGAATAGGTCGGTTTTTCTTCCTACGGCTTACCGCTTGAGCTTGGAAGGCTGGAACAGGACACGCCGCTGCGACCAGGACTGAGTAAGCCACATCATCAGGAGTTTCGCAAAAACCAGTGGCTGAGAAGCCCCTGACAGGATCAGATGCCGCGGTGTGGACTTTGTGAGGCTATGCCACAGTCCGTTGCTGGATGCATGGCTTCGGAACGGCAAATCTCATGACAGGGTGTCACAGTGAAATCCTGTTTGTCTGCACTGCGAATGTGGGTTGGGATTTCACACAATGCAAGTCGCATTATCATTGTTATCATTTGTATTAATACTATTACTACTACTTATCATAATTATAATTAGTGTAGTGCTGTCCAGTTGGATCTGCTGTTTCTCCACTGGGCAGGGAGTCGGCGGAATGGCTTACGGGGATGCCAATGACAAGGTTATTGTCACGCTCCTTGGCTGTCAGACCTGTGCTGTTTGTGCCCAGCTCGAATTGTTTCGCATGCCCCTGTCCAAAGCTACCTGCAGGCCCTGCGAGCCACTTGCGAATGCTAGCCAGGTGGATCCAAGCACTGTCGCGACGCTGGGCTTGATCACCGTCTTGGAACTTCATTTCCGTTATACTGACCGGTGTATGCTCGGGGTTTAGGGTTTAGGTTTAGGTTGTTATACTCACTATGCTCGTAGTATGCAAGCTCCTTTGCGAAACGGAGCAAGTTTCTCCTGGTGAGGAAGCCTCTGTACCCCAAGAAGTTCACTATCCGACGGAAGGATGGCAAGCAGGGTGGCTATTCGGATACCCTCATAGGCCGGGTCCTCGATTTAACGGTTTAGGGCTCATAGGGTTTGGTGGTCTATGGTGTAGGGTTGAGGGTTTCGGGTCTTAGCCAGCAGCATTACCTGTGGCATGGACACTCAATGTAGATCAAATTTTGATCTGTGCACGGGTGGGATCTGTGATGCAAGATGACTCAATTGTGCCAAGGCTGGAAAACAGATCCTTTCTGCTTCGGATTCTTCCCGCAGAACGATTCTACGCAGCCTGTCTCTTTACCATGTCTGCTAGCAGCCGCGGATGACACCAAAAATCCTAAACCCTAAACCCTAAGCCCCTTAAGCCCTCAACCCTTAAACCCTTAACCCCTTAACCCCTAAACCCTTAAACCCTAAGCCTTTAACATGTCGCCGGAGTAGAAATCGCCCCGAGGAAGCCGATGTGCTACCGCAGCGAGGACTTTTTTTTGGCTTCCTCAGAAGAGAAGGGATCCTTCTGCACTACTTAGAGGATCATGGGACTTAGTAAGTAAGGTTATAAGTACCTTAATTGGGTTTTTAAGTAGAGTTACCCTCATCATAACCCGAGTTACTAAGTCCCATGATCCTTTTGCACTGGGTATGTTTGGAGCCTTTCCTTCTGGTTCCTGAGCTTCCCTTCTGGGGGTTTTGGCTCATCTTCTGCCGTACTTACAGTAAAGAACCCCTGTAGCTAGTAAAAAGTATCACTCATTATTCGGTATGATTAGGGTTTAGGGTTTAGGGTTTGTTTAGGGTTTAGGGTTTAGGGTTTAGGGCCTGCAGGATGCATATGTCAAGTACTATGACATCGACCGGGAAGCTCAGCGCGCCGAGTACACCATTCACAACGGGGGTTTGCCGCTTGACAGCGCGCGCATCAAAGCCCAGAAGGCCCCAGCCAGAAGACACAACTAAGACCGGCTTCGCAGGAGTTTCTTCCTCCGTGTCTCAGCCTCAAAAAAACACAATCTTCACGACCCTCAAGCCCTCCAGCTCCACGTCCATAAAGATCCGAGCCCTGTTCTGGCCCAGATATCGAAGGTGAGCAGTCAGCCTCAAACCCAAACGCGACAAGACGATTGGAGCCTGGAGCACCAAGATTCAACGCTTGATAAATTTTCCGAAGCCCGAGCCACGAACACCTGATCCTTGTACTTGTCGTGGTCAAGTAGACTAGAATGGATCCCCAAAATAGTCCTGTATATATATATCTATCTATATATATATATATATATATATATATGTATGTATCTGTGGAAGACTGCGTCTGGCCACTATGGCCGGAGGCATCTTGAAAAGGAACTCCAAGTTTCGAAATAACTGCACCGTGCGTTGGCATGACAGGGGTTTGAAACGAAGTTTCTTGTTGACACGACGTTCAGGTTTGCAGCATTTCCGAATATCACTTCCATCATCCTTCATGTGAACGAGCAGATGTGGATCCAGAACGAAACTTGGCCCTTGAATGACTATAGACTTGCGGTTCAGGGGGTTTCCTGACTGCGTCGTAGCATTGCCACCTTGGCTTTCTTGCCTGTACTCTTTCCCGTGATTCCCAAGGATTTGTGGGGCGTGAAGCAATGCATCTGCGCCAACCCTTCTGGCAACCATTGTACCAACCCTCCCTGCAAAGCATATGCTGCTCAGACTGAATGTAAAGACACGCCATTCTATGCTCTGCGTACCCCACGTGTGCAGAGACACCGTGCGGCCCTTCTTCAGGGCCGCTCGTGCTTGAGGGGCTGGCAGACCTAAAGAAGCCTACACACCGTATAGTGTCCTCCAAGAAAGGCTCTGCTGGTCCGTTCCAGCCCTTTCTTTCGCACACAGGAGCATGGGGCGTACGTTAATGTTGGACTGTAGTGCTGTGTTGCGGTTGAATTGACGAATTCTGAGTTCTGAAGCCAGTCTTTCAACCTGGCCGCAACTCACCTACATAGGAGTTTCCGAAATAGGGGACCCTAATCTAGTACCCTAAATAGTAGGATCCTCATTTTAACGACCCCAAAATAAGGTATCCCTAATTTTCGGAAACTCCTACATGGACGGGCACCCAGTAAAGGACTTTGACCCAACATTTCCTCGCTTCTTCTTTGGTGAACTGAGCTCTGCTTGACGCGACCGGAGGTTCAGCATTGGGACACTTTTGCCAGCGCCTCAGGGCAATCTTGCGGTTTCCTTTTGTAAAGTATAGTATATTATGTTGTGTGGTATATATATATATATATATATGTTCCACGGACTTTCGGAATTTCACCCTTGTCTTGTTCTGCCACGTTTTCAGCCGAGGCTAATGCTCAGTACCTCGGCCGTGAGCGCCTAGGTGCCGACCGCAGCTCAGACTAGGAGACGAGAGTCGCGGCTACAGAATAACGCATTGCCTCAGTACAAGGAGTGGATCCAGAATCACGGTGTCGGGGAGTCTGCGAAGATGATGGAGCAGCTAGGCTTTGAGACTCTCCATGAGCTGTCTTCGCTCCAGGACTCAGCGTGTGTGCCTGTGCTTCAATGTGCTGATCTGAGGCTGGACCACTTCATCTTGTGGGCACACCACGTGTGGCGTCTCGGCGAGCAGTCCGTGGGTGCACTACATGAAATGAATGGAACAGAACCCATGTTCAAGCCGTAGCTTTGAGAGGAGAGGTTGAATCGAGTTAAGGAATCCGGACCACCAATACATGCAATGATAACCTGGACCCTAAGGAACCTTCTCTCATATGAGTTCTTTATATAAGTCCTTAAAAAGGTAGGTTACTTGGGCTTAATTCAAGAGAGAGTGCAACGAGAGGAAACTGAGAGGAGGCTTGCCAGTCAACTCGAGGACGGATCCATCGTCGCGTCGCCTCGTGCGAGCATGGAAGCCTTTCAACGGGCTCCAGCTCTATGATCCAGAGGCGCTGCAGATAGCACATATTCCGGTACATTTGCCAGCGGAGTCATGCTTGTTTTGCTCGTTTTGAGCTGGTTTCAGGAATGTTTATCACCGTTAGACCTCTTAGACCCTGAGCTCTGTTGTAACTACTACGACCTTCTGCTCGCTGCCATGATATAAACAATATGCTTACTTGAACAGTATGTGTACCTTTGCCTCCATCATGGATCTTTCTGCTGCGTTGCTATTGTTGGTAACAGATGCGCCTTGAACTGCTGTACATGACACAACAATGCTAGAGTATGGACCTGTGTACCCTAAAAATCCAGAGCCCCTAAACCGTAAACCCCAAGCCCTACACCCGCAAACCATTAAAACCATAAAGCCCAAACCCTAAGCCTATCAATTTTACACCTTCCACCATAAACTCATTAAACCCTAAGCTTTATACCCTAAACCGCAAACCCCTGAACCTCTAAAACACCTTAAACCCCAAACCGTAAACCCCAAGCCCTAAACCCTAAAGACGAGTGGTATGCCCAAGAGTTCATCCGACGTAGAAGGCCTGGGAGGATGACGTGGCCGATCCCTCGGTCTTCGATTCGCAACTTGGTTTAGAGTGTATAGGATTTAGGGTTTAGCGTTACTATAAGGGATCTTTAAAGGTGTTTCTTATCCAGAGGTTTGGGGTTTTGGTAATCCTTTAGAGTTGTAAAGGTTTGGGGTTTAGGCTTGAAGCTTGGGGCTTTGGGGTTTAGCGATTAATCTGCGGAGTGGGTGGGAAGAAGGGTTCTAGGTTTTGGGGTTTTAAGGGTTTTAAGGTTGGAGCAAAACGGCTTGGCAGCCTTGGATGCGCCTTCTCCCGGATTGCAGCTTTGACTTGAGGCCACCAGAGATGTGCAAGAAGGGCCAGCGCTCTGTGCGCATCAACTGTGACGATGAGGGCAGCTGAGCTTCAAATGTTGTCATATGTGTATCAGTGTACATACACATGTATATACATGTCATATGTACCATACATACATATGCACACACATCCATCGTATCTTTAACTGTACTCGGAAGGGCATCTTTCTCATACCTGCAAGGCAACTACCATCCAAAGAAGATGGACAACCAGCACATCCTTGACTCCCTGTTTCAGAGGTGTCAGAGAGTTCATGTCCGCATGGCCTTGAGATGCTTGTGTGTGCTCCATGACAGGGCGCTTTCCCATGGGCCGCAGGGAATTGCCAACTATGCTGCTGGTCTGTGGGCGGCGACCTCAAAACCCTGCCCTTTCGTGTGGTAGTCCTGGGTGTTCTAGTAGGGGAGCGACCGCTGTCCGTGGAAGGGGGTTCTGCAGTTAAAGCCGCGAGGACGACTTGAACCTGGTTGTTTGAATGTGGAGCAGCTGAATGAGCCATGCCGTTTGCAAGTACAGGTGACTGCAAGCAATGGCTCCCCAACGGCTGTCTGTCGCTCACATGCGTGCGAAGCGAAAACCTGCATATTTACTGATCAAGCCTGAAGTTCACACGCATGACCGACTGTCGCTACATGCGGCCAGTCAGCTCTGCGACAAGCCATTGATGGAAATGCTACTTACTTGGGGTAGATTTCAATCGACTTCCCTGTGTCCAAGGAGGCAGCTTGTACATATGTTCCAGCTCAGCCACTGAAGCGATCCTGCTTCGAGTGCACGCGTGCTGCCTTGTTTGGGTGCCAGCTTGAGTGGCCAGAATGAACAGCTGAGCCACAAAAGAGTTCCGACACGGAAATTAGCCGGTTCGTGCTGCGGAAAAAGCGAGACTGCTGGAGCTGCCATGCAATTTTTTTTTGGTGCTGGTGTGTGAACACAGCTACAAAGTGCAGACGGTCGGGTACTGCTACTGCTAGTGGCTGGGGTCTGTCAAAGAATGCTGCCGGGCTTGAGGGTCCATGAAACCCTGATCCCGATTGCTTACTCGCATGGATCCGGCACTCTCTTTCGCGCTGTGCCCATAAGTGCTGAGCGCCGCGGAAAGTAGAACCAGGAGCGGCGCGAGTATGATGCAACCTAGCTCACTCAGGACTGAGTTTGTGTGGGTTCTTTGCGAGTGCATGCCACAGCCCATTGATCCAGAAGAAGGCAGCTTCTGACGAAGCTTGCACTTCCCAACTTGCATTCGCATATGGTCAAGTTTACAACATCGCAACCCGATGAATGTTTCTATCCTTTGCCATATCTGCCCACCTCGCGAGGCAAACAGATAGCTACGAGTCCTGGGTTGGGGACACAGCTTTGCATGCCACACGATCCTAGCCAACGCTAGCGCAATCGGCTGTTTTAAGGAAAGAAGCATCACGGTATGGTATCTGCATATCCTGGCGTGTAGGATCGATCAAACCGTCCTTGATATACTTCATCAGATCATTGCTGTCCTTTATGTTGGTGTCGGGTCATGCCAGAGCCTCGAAATTATTCTCCCCGCCTGCTCATGCTCAAGTCGCGGCAATTTTGTTGTGAGCTGCTAGCTGCAAATGGCAAGATTGCTTCGCGACGGCGACAGCTCCACCGATGGGGAGGAAGAGATTGAAGCGCCGGGGATCCCTTCCACAAACCGAGCAGCTGCTCCTTGGGTGGAGGATGATGTCCTGAGCCTGCAGAAGCTCAAGGATGTGGAAGATGAGGTTTTCCGAGAATGGCAATCGTAGCCTGGCCGCAAATGGACGTCCGGCAAATGCCTGTGGTCAGTACGCTCTGAAGCTTACAGCACGCATGCCGAGGAGAGCAGAGTCTTCCCCATTCTTGGCTGGAAGGGGAGATTCTTCGGCTGAATGACTTTCGCAAGCACCTGGAAAGCTTCCCCTGGCAAAGCGTTGCGAAAGAGGTTGCTGAGCTGTCTCAATCTCGATTGCCCCTAAGCCCCAAACACCGGACCCTCGTAGGAGTTGCTGGGAGCATGGCTCTGGAAGACAATTTTCATGTGGCAACAGCTTCAAGCCTTGAGGATGTCGTTGAGGTTGAGGGTGGACGTGTCGAGTGATGCCAGTGGTGATGAGAGTGCTTGTGATGCGGAACTACCATCATGACAGCACTACTATTGACCAGTGCATATTGGGTGGGCGAAATGATGCGTACTCTGCTTCGCTTGACACTAGTCCTGCAGGTTTTGCGCGCTTTATTGGAAGCAGCCCACGTGGTCGGCAACCTCCGGCGACAGAGTGACTTAAACCAGGCAGCACCCGCCATTGCACATGGTCATGCTTTTCCAGACATGCCCGTTGGAAAGCTTCCAAATATTTTATCCCAGCTGCTACGCAGGCATACGAGATTCTGCGTTTTCTTGGTGGGAACATCCTGCAACCTTCAGAGCAGTTGATCGCCGAAACAACGGAGCACTTGACGAAGGTTGGCGGGATTCGGTCTTGCTGTTCGTGGCATATGGTCTTCACATTTGCATATGTGTATGTACGTGCATACACACATAGTGACGGTGGTTTGATTGAACTTTGTAGACTCGACAACTTTCCAAGTGCTGAGATGGCTCGGTCAGAGGCTTCACGTCTGGTGCCCATGACATCCCGAGAGGTGAGCAGTAAACCTTCAATGCCCTGAAGCCCAAAAGCCCCCGAAACACACAGGTTCGCTGCGTACATACGGCCCGTGAAGATGGAACGAAGGCCATCATTGAGGCAATGGCGAAGGGTCTCCGACGCGAGGAGGCGCCGGACAGACGGTTTAGGACGGAGCTGGGCTTCGGCCTCTCAAAGTTGAAGAAGGGTGGTTATGATGCCGACCGCTTGGGAGAGATCACCAGGATGCTCCGTGCCACAGTCTAGAGCTGAACGTGAAGGGTGCCGCCGGCAGAAGCATTGCTACATTCTTACCTCAAACCCTTGGCGTTTAGTGTCTGACATCGCTTCAGGAGATGCTGACACAAACACTTGCATGGCTACAAAGCTCACTATGTTTCACAGTCTTTTTGCTAAATTTGCAAATTTCTGGCAGCCTTGGCTCGCGTACATCATCCGCCAGCTGCAAAAGAAGCCCGCAGCCGTACGTGCACGAAGATGGCTTAGATCAACATGTTCAGCCTTTAGAAGAGCCCTCAGCAAGTGTTTGTTCACTGCTGTTCGAAGGCTGCGCGGTCGAAGCTGGCCGTTCAATCTCTCCCGCAATGCAGACATGCATGCTAAATCAGATTCCGAGCATGCAGTGCTGCAGTTGGCTGAAACAGCTGATGTTAGCGAATGTTAGCGAAGCGGCGCTGTGGACGAGTAGTGCCACCTCTCTCACAGCATGGGTATCAGCATGGGTTGCTGTCAGACTGGACCTCCAGCAGGCGAAAATGCTCGCTCTGCGAGTGGCTCCGCGAGCAATCTGTCACAGTTGGAGGACGTCGACGCTGTTGTGGCGGTGACGCAGGCCAGTGTGAACGCCACAATGATGATGTACCTGTCTAAGGCCTCGCTGCCAGAAGTCATCAAGTGCTATGCCTACAAGCCTCATTCCAAGGGTGAGATCGTGGAGGTCGACTACAAGACCCTCGTGGATCAGGCCGGTGGTTCGGACCCCTTCAACTTGACCGACGGTGCGGACCAAACAGACAAGAACGTGCTCAACTTGGCCAAAGTCAACTTTGTTGGAGCCTTCAAGGCCAAGGGCGGCCTGCCAAGAATACCGCTGGCCCATCTACCGTCCATAGTCACGCTGGGCGAGCATTCGGACAGTCGGGTCTCCTTCAACTTGACGACGTCCGAATTCCAGATATGTGGCATCACATACGCTGGCTTCAACCAAGCTGTGGCGATCAACAAGTTCCAACCTTCAGGTGCCAGTGCGAAAACCGCATGGTACTACAACTTTTTGGTGGACCTCACCTTGAACACTATCGACCCCAACGCGACAGTCCCGGACGCTGTCCAAGCACGCATGAAGCAGTTCATAGAAAAGTTTGGCCCTAGGTCTTTCAGCATGAGCCAGCTTTTCCTAGATCTGGAGACAGCCTCGCTTGTGGCCAATCCGGTGATAAAGGGCGTCAGCGACAACAGCGACTTCGCCCCAGCCTGGGCGATGATGTCTAAGGTCTTCACAGGAGCTTACTTCAGCCAATTGCGCAAGAC